ACTAAGAAAGAAAACTGTAGAACAATATCCCTCATGAACATAGATGCAAAACTTCTCAAGAACAGTTTATAAAACAGTTTCTGGCTGGAAGCTTACTTTTGGAGTGAAGTGCCTCCAGGCATTTAATGTAAGGAGCTAGCTTTGCAAACTCATGGAGCTAAACCAAGCTCCTTTGGATTAATGCTTATAGCAGAAAAGATTACCCTTTGGACATTTATTGGCAGTGATAAAAAGTTTGGTAGTATTACCTGAACAGGGAGAAGTCAGCCCAAGGTGCTGAGGGTAAAAGAGAGTCTTGCTTCTGGGCACTGAAGAGAAGAGCCTGTCTTGACCAAAGAATTGTGTCTTGAACATTTATGATCCTGAATTATAACCTACTAACTTTCTTAATGGAGTCTTGGTGTGGCACTGTGGGTTAATGTGCTGGACTACAAAGTCATTTGAACTGTGGGGTCAACGGTTCAAGCTTACCAGCTTCTCCTTGAAAACCCTATAAAGGGTCGATATGGATTGGAAATGACTCGACAGCCTTTAACAACAACAACTTCCTTAATAAAGTCCATAATTGTGAATATAATCTGTGTGTTCTATGTGGTTACTGCAATGAATTGTCAAATCCAACTAAAAAAAATAGAGAGTACTATGGGAAGGGACAGTTGGTCTTAGAAATGGAAAATTAGGAAGATGATGGAGGCATGTCTGACCTCTGCCTCATAGTGATTGACCTTGGATTCGTGCTGAATTTGATTATTTTTTCCCCTTTTGAAGTCAGAGGAGGTCAGACATGCCTATACTCCATTCTTTAGAGAAACATACATAAATTATTCTTTGTATTTTATATTTTCTTTTCATTGTTGATATTCATTTTTATTTGTTATTTGACTTCCTGCACATAGGGCCCTTGTTAATTTGGCAATGATTAGAGGAAGTATTTTATGCATTCTGTAATTCTATGCCTTCAAAAATTTTATTTCTCATTTTCAAGTTATTTGATGTTGTTAAGTGCTGTTGAGTCAATTCGGACTCATAGTGACCCTATGTACAAAAGAACAGAACACCATCTGCTCCTGTGTCATGCTCACAACTGCTACTATGCTTGAGCCAATGGTTACTGCCACGGTGCCAATCCATCTCACTGGGGGTTTCCCTCTTTTTTGATGTCCTTCCACTTTATAAAGCATGATATCCTTCTCCAGGGACTGGGCCCTCCTAATCATATGTCCAAAGTATAAGAGATGAGTCATGGTGTGGTGCCATAAGATAAGCACTCAACCTCATGGTTGGTCTGAACTGCAAGCCCAGTGGTTTAAACTCACCAGCCACTTCTTGGAAACCCTATAGAGAAGTCAGAACTGACTTGATGGCATTTAACAATAACATGAAAGACAAAGTCTGACTATCTTCATTATGGTTTCCTCTATAAATGTTTAGGTTTAGTTGCTTTGGAACGATCCAATCCCTAGACTGAATTCCACAATCCTGGGGGGATAGAAACGGAGAATGGTGGGTGTTTAAGCATCACAGAGCTGAGTTTCAACAATTTTTTTTCTAACATCTCACTTATGTGGGCATCTTTGATGTTGTTGTTTAGTGCCATCAAGTCAGTTCTGACCCATAGTGACCCTTTATAGTACTTCCAAGGAGCAGATAATGAGCTTGAACCACCAATCTTTCTGCTCAAATTGACCTTGCAATCTAGTGCATTAACTCACAGCACCACACCAGAACTCCCGTGGGCATTAGCTGCTGCTAATTTTTACAGTGAAAATTCAGGCAATGATTATCCCAAAGTGTAAAAAATAAGAAAGAAGTTAACTAGAAAAGTGTTCTCCAAAAGTCACACTCTTTCCATAAACTATGACATCTTCTTTCTCTTTATAGCCAGCATGCATTTTGATAGCCTGAGCCCTGCTCTTCTCTTTGTTAATAAGTGTAGGTACTACGATCCATGTGAGAGGGTTATGGTTATTCAGTGTTACATTGAGGCTGGTTAAGTAAGTCAAATTCTAGCCTTTGAGACTAGGTAAATTGCTTGTCCACAAATCTAAGCCACATTTTCCAAAGTATTTTTTTAAATTAATTATAAAGACTAAATTTGTGGTTCATTTTTGTTTGTTTATCTCTTTAAGTAGCTCCTCTTTGTTAATTGAATTCATGGCTTCCATCAAACTCTGTAAAACATTATAAAACAATAACAGCAGTAACAAAAAAGGCAAGTTCCAATTGTCATAATAAGATGAAACTGTTGCAAAAACATACTAGTTTTGAGTGGACTAACATTTTATACTAAAATAAACAATGTTAGTTTGAGCACAGAACACAAAATCTCACATTTATTCTGTTATTCTTTACTTATGACCCATGAGGCATTTTAAGATAATTTATAAGTTGTGCTTTGGTGAAATGTGAAAACCACCTAAGTTTTAATTTTTTTAAAAAAATCAATGCAAAATTATGAAAAAGTGATGAGATTTTAATGATAAATTTAAATAAAGCAATACCCTTTAAAAGTAACAGCTTTCTAAAATAAGAGTGTATTGAACTTATAAGAGGAAAAGTCATAAAAATGTTATATTTATTGATTTAAATAGGAACTTATATTTCAAAAATTTCCATCAGTAGTAGGAAAAAATTCCTAGAATTGTATTGCAAAAATAATATACTTATAAATAATAAAAAGCATGCATTACTCTATAAAAATTTTATCTATCTTATCCAAGCAAATAAAATCATATCATACCAGAGCAACACCTCCTCCATAGTTTCTATCACACATCTTTCCTTGGTAAGTTGCACCAATATAATCTGATTTTTCTCTGTAACTTAAATTAAAATAAAATAAGAAATCAGAATCACATACTCTTTTAAAATGCAGGCACAATTAATACTGAATTTCCCAAAATTTTAAATTTTGCATTTTATATTAACCCTAAAGATATTTCCACTGAAAAGTAAAATAAGAAGCGACTGTTTCTCCTTCTTAAAACAGTTTTTAAAAATAAACAGAAAATATGTTTTCACCTGAACCTGTAAAACAATATAATTCCCCCCTCTTTGGTGTCTTGTATAGTAAAATAAGTAAATTCAATAAATTAAAAATGAGTAATAAATAAAAGTCCTTAACATTAGAACCCTAAGCTAATGTAGCTGATAAATGGGCAGAGTCATCCTATGAAATAAATTCTCTCCTGAATCAGAGTTAGCCAGCCACAGTTATGCATATGTATGGTTCACTTATGGGAAGGAACGTTAAATCAAAAGGATACAAATACTCTCACACATACATAAGGACAAATAAAAAGGTGTTAATACAAAAATTATGTTGTTGTTGCTGAATGCTGTTGAGTAGGTTCTGACTCACAGTGACCCTGTATATGGTGCCCAAAGGCTGACTAGTGAGTTTGAATCACCAGCCTTGTAATTCAAACAGAACTTGTGGTCCAGTCCCAGTGCTTATCCTATAGTGCCACACCTTTATTAAACAAAAAAATCAAAATGTGAAGCTATTATTTCTTGATATGTCTTTTATTTATATCTATACGCTTCTGAAGGCAGTATTTCTGTCAAAACCTTTTCTGAAGAATTCTGTGCTGTTCGATTTACACCACATCAAAAAGGCATTTTGGCATATTCCAGGGTCTCAAATTGTGTTCCTTGAAATGTTCTTTGAGTTTCAGGGACAAAAAGAAGTCTTAAAAGACAGCATAAAGGCTGTAGGGTGAGTAAGATAAGGTTTCCCAGCAATATTCTCATAGGACAGCCTTTGCTGCCCTGGAAGAATGAGGAAATGCATTTTCATGATGAGAAAAGATTTCTTGGCATGTAACTTTTCTGGTCTTTTTTTTTTTTTTTTTTTCACCAATGCAGTTTTCAATTTTCTTAAGACTTTTTCATAATAAGTCCCTATGATGATCATTCTGTGTCCTTAGGAAAATGTATCAAGATTGCAAACCCTTATGGAATCCGGAAAAAAAAGACCCCATAACTTTCTGAACTGACTTCTCTGCTTTGAATTCATCTTTGAGAACTTAACATCCTTCCTTAAAATGTTTGATCATCTAAAAAGTGATGTGCTATGTGGGACACCATTCCTGTAAACTTGTTACAGAGCTTCAGTGATTTAGGAAAACATCTGTTTGAGTTTTGTAAAAATTTGATATGATTCTTGCCTTCAAAATCACTTTTTTCTATGGCACAAAAATATTTTTAATTGTTGTGATCATTGGTACCCTAATGAGAATAAAAGAAAAGTATGTTACAGAGACAACTTGTCTGCAGCAATCCACTGATTGCAGAGACATGTTAAACACATTTTTTTTCTGACATATGAATTGTAACTGTAGTAGGAATACAGTTTTACTCACCCTGGTATTATATATATAATTTTATGTGGTTGTTGTTAAGTGCTGTTGAGTCACTTTCCACTCATAGTGACCTGTATAGGGTGTCCACGGAATGGCTGGTGGATTTGAACTACTAGCCTTGTGGTTAGCTGTCTAAAACTTATCCCATAGCACCACACCAGAACTCCATATAATTGTAAATATATAATTGTATCTGTATAGAATATTGTTGTTCTTGAGTAGTTTCAGGTTCATAATAAAGTTATGCACAATTCAACAAAACACTGCCCAGTCTGTGTCATCATCAAAATCATTTTTTAAGTTTGAGCGCAATGGAGCTGCTACGGTGTCAGTCCATCATTCTAAGGATCTTTTTTTGCAGG